TTTAAAAATTTAAAAAAAAATATATCCAGCAAAATAATTGTATTTATCATCTGTTTCCTTTCATTTTTATCCAAAATCATAACAAGTAGTTCATTATTTCCTGAGTTGTACAGTGTAGGTTCGATTTGGCAGATTGGTAGTGAGTCTTTTTACTTACATGGGAACATTAAAGATTGCAATTCAAAACATGTTTATAATAAAACAAATCTGTCTTGAGGTGTTATATATTTTTCTGTTTTTCTTCAGGGCCTATCGGGTTGGTCTGTTTACTCGTGGCCAAGGCGATGGGGGCCTCAAAGGTTGTCATCACTGGTAACACACGCAGTTTATTAACACTTATCCTCAATGAAACGACACAACATACAGATTAAGATTCCCTTTGGTCTCTAAAACACTTCATTTACCGCCTTCAGATCTGTTCCCAGAACGTCTGACAGTGGCCAAAGAGCTGGGTGCGGACTTCCAGGTGACCGTGAAGAGAGGGGACGAACCCCGGAAGCTCGCCAAGCGTGTGGAGGACATTCTCGGAGCTCCGCCTCATATCACTATTGAATGCAGTGGTGTGGAGAGCAGCATCCAGACTGCCATCTATGTATGTGACTCTCACCTTTAGTATTTTTAGTTTGTTGTGTTCTTACTTTTAATTAAGTAAGGATCTGAATACTTTCTCCACTATTAGGTCTCACATTATTTGGAGTTTCAGTATCTGTAGATTCATAAAAGAATCAACTTTAAATTGTGTTTCTTTTAGGCAACAGGTTCGGGAGGCGTGGTGGTGCTGGTGGGTCTCGGCTCAGAGATGGTCACTATTCCCCTGATTGATGCTGCTTTGAGAGAAGTGGACATTAGAGGAGTTTTCCGCTACTGCAACACGTAAGAAAATAGTCATTGGTTTCAAATCTTGTTCCATATGTGGATGTTCAAAGTAAAACTGGAAGCAGGTCCATTCATGTCTGTGACTAAAGCTCAACCCATGAAGTAATTAGAATGTCACGCTGTAGAGCGCCTAGCTCTGCCAAGGCCCAACTGTCGCTTTAAATACTGCACAGTTTGGAAGCTATTGAAGATTGAAGCCATATACGTATGTTACCTGAAAAAAGCCTAAGCCAATATGAAACCTTATTTAAATCTGCACCAAATTGTGGAATCTTTATATCTATTACTAAATATCAGTCCCCTGATTTTTTTTCATCAAGATTCATAAATTTTTCTTCGAGAAACAATCTCACAATGTTTCAGAAATTGATACAAAAATTCATGGATCTGCACCAATATTAGTGGGATCCTTCTTGGCCCATGTCCCATCCTTCCACCAAGTTTCTTGACAAATGTTCAGTTGTTTCTGCTCAAAAACCAACCAACAGTCAGGGGTGAAAACAAAACCTCCTTGGAGGAGGTAGAGATGAGGTATTACAAAGAATTACCTGTTTGAGTAAAACGTTTGTGTCACTGTGTTGCAGCTGGCCGATGGCTATAAAGATGCTGGCATCAGGTAAAGTGAACGTGAAGCCCCTCGTGACCCACCGCTTTCCTCTGGAGCAGGCAGCCCAGGCCTTTGAGACCACGCGTCAGGGTGTTGGGATAAAGGTCATTTTAAAGTGTGACCAGAACGACCAGAACCCCTGATCTGACCCCAGTGCAGCGAAAACACATGAGAGCGACTCAGCATGACGGGCAGACAACTACAAACTGGACATCGACCCAAAGAGAGATAATAGAGGTAGTTTAAAGAAACGTTAATAACAGCACTGACTTTTGTTTTACCTACAGGTCAGACATAGAATCAGCTTTAAATGGTACGAATAATAACCAACATTTGAATTTCTTTACATCGCTGTAAATTTTAAATACTGGTACAAAAAATAAAACTTTTTAATGAATGAGTCTTAAATTACAAGATGTGTTGTGTTTCTTCATGGATAGATTATTGTACTTATATCTAGATGAGCAAGACTGCAGGACCTGCATTTCCTAGTTCTAGACACTAGGGGGAACCAGACCCTTAAAGTAAAATCATTGTATTAATTCAATGAACAGTATGATTATAATGATGGTCATGATATACAGTTC